CGAAGGCCACGTTGTATAGCAAGGATATTCGGTTCATTAATAAGGACTCCACCTTTGATAACAATGGAACCACATAACTCAACTTTTCCATAACATTTGTTTTAAATTATTTACTTTGCTTTTCTACATAGCTCTATACCTATTTAATGTTCTGCATTTATTGTTGTTCTCGTCTGTCCTGTCTCTGTCATTTATTTCGTTACTTTTAATTGATTTAATTAATTATTTTCTTTTTATTTGTAATTAGTTACTTAGATTTATAGATTTTGTCTTTTGTTGTATTCTAGTTATGTGTATGGTTGTTGTTGTTGTTTTTCTTGTTGTTGTAATTGTATATAATAGGACTACAAACTATCATCACTATTTTTCATGGTTGTTGTTTTGTTCTTTCCTATAAATACTATTTTTTTGTTTTATTTTAAATTCTATTTAAATGTAATATTCGGTTTTGTTATTATTTTTTAAGTTTTTTTGTTGTTGTTGCGAAGAAGACATTTCTTATTGTTTTGTCAATATTTCTTATTGTAAAAATCGATTATAGTTAAGTTATAAATTATGGATCGGGAGATATATATGCTGTTATTTTTTTTTTTTGTGGTTTAGAATTTTTTTCTTTGTGTAGTGACTAAGTTTTTTTTTGGGGGGGAGGAAAAGGAAGAGGTGGATAGGGGAGTAAAGAAGGAAAGAAAAACAAAAATCTAAAGATCAAACAATTAAAAAGGCGGTAAGTTCGGCCTGGAAATTTGGAACAAATTTGGGAATTTTCAAAAATAAAAATTAAAATTCTGTTAATATCTTAAAATTACCGAATGTAGCCGTTAGAGTCTTTACGACGACGTGGACCTGCATAGGCAACTTTTGTCATAGGCCATTACAATTTTGAAATACCAAATTTGAAAAAAAATCGGTGAATAATTTAGCTAAAATCATTAAAATACCGAATATCGGGAGGTGCCGTTATATGGGGGCTATACCAAAACGTGGGCCTGCGCATTTACTGTCATAGGCTGTAGTATCCATTACGAACTTCAAATACCAAATTTGAAACAATTCCGGTGAATAATGTCGCTAAAATCATCAAAATACCGAATATCGGAAGGTGCCGTTATATGGAGGCTATAAGAATGCGTTCACCTGCACAGACGATTTTCTGCCATAGGCTGCAGTATCTATTACGAACTTCAAATACCAAATTTGAATCAATTCAGGTGAATAATGTCGCTAAAATCATCAAAATACCGAATATCGGAAGATACCATTATATGGAGGCTATAAAAATTCGTGCACCTACACAGACGATTTTCTGTCATAGGCTGTAGAATCCATTACGAACTTCAAATACCAAATTTGAAACCATTCCGTTGAATAATGTCGCTAAAATCATCAAAATATCGAATATCGGGAGGTGCCGTTATATGAGGGCTATGCGAAGACCGGGACCTGTACAAACAATTTACTGTCATAGGCTGTCGTATTCATTACGAACTTCAAATACCAAATTTGAAACAATTCCGTTGAATAATGTCGCTAAAATCATCAAAATAAAGAATATCGGGAGGTGCCGTTATATGAAGGCTATACCAAAGCGAGGACCTGCGCAGACAATTTACTGTCGTAGGCTGTAGTATTCATTACGAACTTCAAATACCAAATTTGAAACAATTCCGGTGAATAATGGCGCTGAAATCATCAAAATACCGAATATCGGGGGGTACCATTATATGGGGCTATACCAAAGCGTGGACCTGCACAGACAATTTTCTGCCATAGGCTGCTGTATCCATTACGAACTTCAAATATCAAATTTGAAACTATTCCGGCGAATAATGTAGCTAAAATCATCAAAATATCGAATATCGGGAGGTGCCGTTATATGGAGGCTATACCAAAGCGAGGACCTGCACAGACAATTTTCTCTTACAGGCTGTAGTATCCATTACTAACTTCAAATACCAAATTTGAAACATTTCCGGAGAATAATGTCGCTAAAATCATCAAAATACCGAATATCGGAAGGTACCATTATATGGAGACTATAAGAATGCGTGCACCTGCACTGACAATTTTCTGTCATAGGCTGTATTATCCATTACGAACTTCAAATACCAAAATTGAAACATTTCCGGAGAGTAATGTCGCTAAAATTATCAAAATACCGAATATCGGAAGGTACCATTATATGGAAGCTATAAGAATGCGTGCACCTGCACTGACAATTTTCCATCATAGGCTGTAGTATTCATTAAGAATACTTCAAATACCATACTTGAAACAATTCCGTCAATAATGTAGTTCAAATCATCAAAATACCCAATATCGGGAGGAACCGTATATGGACCCTATATGAAGACGTGTACCTGCACAGATAATTTTCTGGCACAGGCTGTAGTATCCATTACGAACTACAAATACCAATTTTGAAACAATTCCGGTGAATAATGTCGCTAAAGTCATCAAAATACCGAATATCGGGAGGTACTGTTATATGAGTGCTATACGAAGACCGGGACCTGTCAAATACGACATCTCAAACAATTTCGGTAAATACTGTAGCTAAAATCGTCAAAATACCGAAAATAGGTGAGTTCCATTATAAGGGGGCTATATGAAGACGTTGACCTGCACTGACAATTTTCTGTCATAGGCTGTATTATCCATTACGAACTTCAAATACCAAATTTGAAACAATTCCGGAGAATAATTCCGCTAAAATCATAAAAAACCAAAGAATATCGGGAGGTACTGTTATATGAGGGCTATACGAAGACTGGGACCTGTACAGACAATTTTCTGCCTTAGGCTGTAATATCTTTTGCGAACTTCAAATACCAAATTTGAAACTATTCCGGTGAATAATGTAGCTAAAATCATCAAAATACCGAATATAGGAGTGACCATTATATGGGATCAATAAAAAGACGTGGACCTGCACAGACAATTTTCGGTCTTAGGCTGTAGTATCCACTATGAACATCAAATACCAAATTTGAAAGAATTCCGGTGAATTGTGTCGCTAAAATCGACAATATTGTTCCACTCCATCCAGTACTTCCCCCACAAAGGGTTAAAATTTTGAAGAATCATAACTCTTATAAAATGTGATGTAAGTATCCGATTGTCTTCAAATTACATACATCACCATATTTTTATTAACCCATGGTCTGGTGTGAAGATAGGATATATCGGTCCATTCCTTCTGGTGCCTCCCCCACGAAGGATCAAAATTCGGAATATTCACGAAGCTCATAAAACACGAAATTAACATCCAATTCCATTCAGACTTGGCACATCTCAATATTTCCAACAACGCAAGATCTGTTATAAAGATAGTAGAGATCGGACCATTACTTCTGGTACCTTCCCTACAAAGGGTCAAAGTTTCCCATAACCAAAACGATCATAAAATCCGAAATAAGCATCCGATTTCTTGCCTGAGCTTGCTGCCTTCTTTCATGCGAGGAATATGAAAATATCCGCCACTAAATCAACGGCCACACTATTTACCACATGGACTGCGGAGATGCGAACACAGCTGAATGTACCCCTAAATCCTTGGCGTCACTCTCGATTGCATATTCAAGTCTTCCGCGCAAGCCACAGCTATCTGCAATAAACTGACAAGTAGAAACAAGGTTCTCAAGGCGCTAGCCGGCAGCTTTTGGGGTGCGGATAAGGAAACCTTGTTGACCTCTTATAAAGCGATAGGTCGGTCTGTGGTTAGCTATGCGGCTCCAGTGTGGTCTGCGAATACCTGTGCAACGCAGTGGAAAAAATATTCAGACCTGTCAGAATGCCGCACTGAGAACTGCAACAGGGTGCCTCCTCATGACCCCTGTGGACCATTTACATGAGGAGACGAAGGTTCTTCCCTTACGTCAGCATAATCGTATGCTTTCGTTGCAGTACCTGATTGGGTGTTATCGTGGCAATCATCCTAATTACCATATGGTGAACAGAACTACCCCACCCAGGCGTTTCAGGAAGGACCTGCATGATCTAGAGAGAGAGGTCCAGCGATATAAATCGATATTTTCAATTAAATCGATGTAAAACTGAAATCATTTCAAGAGAAGGTTTTTAAATATCAAATGAGAGAATATGATTCAAAGCTGCCTGACCTCTGTAGAAAGAAAAAAAATCGCCAGACCTGTTTCATAACCATTTAAGAATTTTGGAGACATCTAAGACTTTTTAGTCTTAGTCTTTATATAACTCAAAGGCGACCAGCCAGACCAGTATTTTTTCCCATCATTCTGGTATACCATCCAACATATTCCATATTTTCCTACAGCCAGTAACTAATCATTTTATGCGATAGCCACCATTAATGGAAGCAAGATTATTTTTAATCCCACCTTTTGAAAGCCTCTGGGAACATCCGCTTAAAAAAAAAAAACTCTTTTAATTCCGATCAGAAAAACCTCAATGTCTTTAATATTGGTAAGTTTTCAACCTTGAAACTCTTTAATCTATGCGAAACAATTATTGAGAGGATTCGTCCTGCACCCAATAACTTCCAGCCATTGTAAAAATACTAGCTGTTCTAATAATACACTGCTTTCCTCCATCATTCTGGTATACCATCCAATATATTCAATATTGTGTTCCAACAAATAACAAATCATTTTATGCGATAGTCGCCAGAATGGATTCAGGTTTTACTGTTATAATTTAGCGGATTTTCAGATAGCCTCTTGGGAAGATCCACTTTTAAAAAACCACTTTCAATTCGCTTCAGAAAAAAACCTGAATATCTTTAATATTGCAAAGTTTTCAACCTAGAAAGATTTTAATCTATCCGAAACAATTATTGAAAGGGTTCGTCCTGTAACCAATTACTTCTGGCCATAGTAAAAATATTAGCTGTTCTAATGATACTCTACAACTTTATCAAAATACTAATGATATTTTCAAACGAAGTTCGCCAAAATTTTACAATTTCGAAAAAATAAGACAAAATTGGATTTCTGGATTAATTTACCAAACACTGAAACTATAAATTATTTTGTTATTAATGATTAATTAATTTTTGCTTTATTAAAAATTAGTCTCAAATAGTTACAGTAATAATAATAATAATAATCATAATGATAAGAAACTAAAATAATAAACTAAACATTAATGATAATAATAATAATAATAAAAATATATATATATATATAATTGTCATCGATCATCAATTACAAGTTCTACACACAAATATAAACGTTGGCATTTAAAATGCCACATAATTTTGTTTACAAATTTTGAAAAAGAAATAAAAAATAAACAAAGAGAAGAAAAAAAAAACAAAGATGGTAAAACATTAAAAGAAATATATAAGAAATTAAAAAGAGTTCGTTTAGAAACTTAGTATAAAGGGGTATACAGTTTAAATTTCATAGAGCAAATATACCGAGGTTTCATGGTCATAAAAAGATATGCTCAATGCTGGAGCTAGGTTTATTTTTCTTGAATTTAAGGGTCTGTTTCTGTAGGAAAGTAGATTCAAAAGAAAAAACACCATTTTCGTGGGTATTGCTTTAAATACAATAAAAATAAAAAATTAAAAAAAAACGTACAAGGAATGGGGTTTTTCTTTCGAGCTCAAGAAAAACTGCTGGAATTTAGCATCTTTTCTTGTTTAGGTTGGAAAAATTCAAATTTTGATAAATTTTATTTTTATTTCTTCAAAATATTTCACCAATTGTACTGACTACAACTACTATTATTATCTCATTTAAAAATCCAGACCCTAATGAAAAACCACTAAAGAAAGTCTTAAAATCGGGTGGGGTCGACTTTTTGATACCCTACACCACTTTGCATATTTAGTAGAGCTTCACATAACAAATAAAAGTTTTTATTGGAAATTTGGGAGAAGTAAATCATACCAATTATGATTATAGTTATAATTTAAAAACCAAAGGAAGTAACATGTGAAAGGAGGATGTTCCTCCTTTTGAATCGATTTCTACTAATTTTGCAGAGGCATTGGTGCCTTTTTCATTTCAAGCTGATATTACCTATTTGGTGCACAATTAACTTGAAATCGGCAAAAAGATCTGTATCCAAATCGGAACCGATCGCGACAAAAATTAGCGAAGGTATTTCTGAGCTGTATTTGCTATAGTTCACCCAAATATCGTTGTTACAGAGTGGATATTACGGCTGCGGAGGGCAAATTTAACAAATCGGAAGAACAATATATATGGGAGCCATAGCTATATCTTAACCGATTTTCAACAAATTTGACATACTTGTTTCTAGATTCAATTTGGCCATAAGTGTCAAATTTCATCCCATTTGGGTTGATATTACACCCTTGGTGGACAATTAAAGGCAAATCGGACAAAGATTTATGTGGGAGCTATATCCAAATCTAAACCGATCTCGATAAAATTTGGCAAAGGTATTTCTGAGCTGTATTTGATATATTTCCCCAAATATCGTTACTACCACATGCATATTATGGCTGTGGAGGACAAAATAACAAATCGGATGAACAATATATATGGAAGCTATAGCTATATCTGAACCGATTTCGATATAATTTGACATACTATAATTTTGACATACCAATTTGGCCATAAATGCCAAATTTCATCCCATTTGGGCTAAAATTACACGTCTGGTGCACAATAAAAGAAAAATCGGACAAAGATATATATGGGAGCTATAGCTAAATTTTGACAGATTTTCTCCAATTTCCATAGGGTTCGCCCTTGGGTCAAACAAATGATTTGTGCAAAATTTCATCTGAATCGGGTAAAAAATGCGACCTGTACTTTGTTTACAAAAAATACATGGACAGACGGACTCGACTCAGAATGTGATTCTATTTAGATCATCAAAAGGAACTATGGGCGGGTTTTTCTCCTTTCCTTTTGCCTGTTACAAACAAATGCCCAAAGACATAATACCCTGACCACCTTGTGGTGTAGGGTATAAACAAGAAGGTTTTAGAAAAGCTTTTTCATTCCATGACCAGGGGCTGGATTCTTGTTCTATGAAAATATGGAATGAAAAATATTTCCTTTATAAAATTTTTCATTTAATATTTCTTTCCTTTATAAAAGTTTCCATTTCACATTTCATAGAACAAGAATTGGACCAGATTTCCTCTAAATATTTTACAATAAAAATTTAAAATGAAACCCTGAAAAAAAAAAAACAAAATACTAAAAAAACATTTTTGTTTTGTTTAATCTTAAATAAAAGAAAAACAAAAGAAATGTTAGGTTAGGTAGTTGTGGTTGACTTTAAGTATAATAGTTTAGAAATAAGAATTACATGATTTCATAAAGTTGTTTTGCTTGTTCTTTTTTTTTTTTTTTTTGTTTACTTTAAATACAATGGTGTTTAACGCCTTTTTGCTTAGTTGTTGTTGTTATTATTATTAATAAGTTCCTTCTTGTTTTAATATTTATATAATATATATAATAACTATAAATATAAATTAAAGTAAATGTTATTATTTTCATTAAATTTCTCGTCGGTTTCTTTCTTAGCTCTTCGTGTTTTCTTTTTGTTTCTATATTTAATAATAGTTAATAAATGTTTTAGTTGGTTTTTGTTTACTCTTTCTTTTTTTCCTCATATAAAGTACTTGCATTTTGGGAGTTTTTGTTGTTGTTGTTTCTTATGGGGTGTTGCTTTTGTTATTTTGAAAATCTATATAAGTAGTATTGTTTTGTTTTCGTTTCTATTTTTCATTTTCATAATTTTTTTTTCGCAAATAATATCTATGTATATATAAATATTTATATAAGTGTTTTGTTTTATTTTTTTTTAAGTATTCCCATTGTAATTGTTTACTTTGTCCATGGGATCACTTCTTCTTCTCCTAGTTAGCATTAATAATAATAATATTATTATTATTATTCTGTCTGTCTATTGTTCTTTTGTTTTACATAATCATAATAATAATAATAATAAGGTATAATGATGAATGAATTTTGTATACTGAATTAAAACAAATTTATAATTATATATTTTCTTTTTTTTTCTTTTTTAAGAAATAAGTTTCAACAGAAATCAGTGTTGCTGCTTTAATCAGTTGCCCTTTGTGGCCTCCTTGGCAGCCATGATCAATGGTGTCAAACTGGCCAAGGGACGGGCCAACTTTAAGAATGGGTGCTGTAAAGAGAAAAGGAGAGATGTGTGAAAACTCAAAGCCAAGGAAATAATATAATTTCGTCTCACCTTAAGCAGTTCCATTGCACTGGCACGACGATCCACCTCCACCTCAAGACATTGATCAAGAAAATCTTGAAATACTGCCGACAGCTTTTCTTTTTCCTTAATTTCAGGTTTGCCATTTGTAGCAATGAGGTACAAGGCTTTCAATGGATTTTCATTTAAATAGGGTGGTTCACCCTCTACCATCTCGATGGCCATAATGCCAAGGGACCATAAATCCACCTGAGAAAAATAAGTTTACATTCAAAATTTATATTCCAGAACACTAGAAAAAGTTATTGATATGAAGTTATCGACATTTCAATATAAGCCATTGAATTTTACAAGATTTTCTTAGAAAATAGCTTTTCAAAAGAGAGCACTGTAATCGATAATGTAAACATTGTCATCTATATTTTCAATAGAAAATATTGTTACCGACACAATTTTTTATATAAATTATTGCTATCGATACAATTTTCCATAGAAAATATTGTTATCGAAACTATTTTTTAATAGAAAATATTTTTATCGCCACTGTTTTCCACACTTTTCTAATAAAAAATATTGTTATCGATGATATTTTCTATATAGAAAATATGGTTATTGACACTATTTTCCATAAAGAAAATATTGTTATCGATACTATTTTCTATAAAGAAAATATTGTTATCGACATTTTTTCTATATAGAAAATATCATATCGACACTGTTTCTATATAGAAAATATTGTTATCAACACTGTTTTCCAAATAGAAAACGTTGCTATCGACCATGTTTTCTATTGAAGATATTGTTATCGACTCTATTTTCTGTATAGAAATATTGTTATCGACACTATTTTCTATATACAAAATATTGTTATCGACACGATTTTCTATATAGAAAATATTATCGACACTATTTTCGATTGAAAATATTGTTACCTAAACTATTTTCAATAGAATATAGGTTATCGATACTATTTCTTATAGATTATATGGTTATCAAGACTATTTTCAGTAGAAAACATTGTTATCGACACTGTTTTTTTAAAGAAAATAATGTTATCGAGACTATTTTAAATAGAAAAATATTGTTATCGATGGTATTTTTTATTGAAAACTTAGTTATCAATATTTTCTATTAATCTCTGTTCTGGAAATCGACACCATTTTCTAAAAAGAAAATATTGTTATCGATCATATTTTCCATAGAAAATATAGTTATCGACAATATTTTCCATAGAAAATATTGTTATCGAATCCATTTTCTATAGAAGATATTGTTATCGAAAATATTTTCTATAGAAAATATTATTATCCATACTATTTCTATAGAAAATATTTTTATCAACACTATTTTCCATAAAGAAAATATTGTTATCGAAACTATTTTCTATAGAATATTAGAAAATGCTGTTATGGAGACTATATTCCACTGAGAATGATGTTATCGACGATATTTTCTGCAAAAATATTATTACCGACGATATTATTTGTAGAAAATATTGTTATCGACCATATTTTCTTTAGACAATATTGTTATCGGCACTATTTTCTACAGAAAATATTCTTATCGACACTATTTTCTATAAAAGATATTGTTATCGACACTATTTTCTATAAAAAATATTGTTATCAACACTATTTTCTATAGAAAATATTCTTATCGACACTATGTTCTAGAGAAAATATTGTTATCGACACTATTTTCTATAGAAAATATTGTTATCGACACTATTTTCTATAGAAAATATTCTTATCGACACTATTTTCTATAGAAAATATTCTTATCGACACTATGTTCTGGAGAAAATATTGTTATCGACACTATTTTCTATAGAAAATATTGTTATCGACACTATTTTCTATAGAAAATATTCTTATCGACATTATTTTCTATAGAAAATATTCTTATCGACACTATTTTCTATAGAAAATATTGTTATCGACACTATTTTCTATAGAAAATATGTTTATCGACTCTATTTTCTATAGAAAGTATTGTTATCGACTCTATTTTCTATAGAAAGAATTGTTATCGATAGTATTATCTATTGAAAATCATCTTATCGACAATATTTTCTATAGAAAGAATTGTTATCGATAGTATTATCTATTGAAAATCATCTTATCGACAATATTTTCTATTGAAACTCTTGTTATCGATAATATTTCCAATTGAAAATCATTTTATCGACGATATTTTCTATAGCAAATATTGTTATCGACACTATTTTCTATAGAAAATCATGTTATCGATAACATTTTCCATAGAAAATCATGTTATCGATAACATTTTCTATAGAAAATCATGTTATCAAAAACGTTTTCTACGGAAAATCTTTAATATTTTCCAAAGAAAACTTTATTATTGGCTACTTATTTCATGCAAAATCTTGTTATCGTTATAATTTTTCTTAAAAAACATGCTATCGATAACATTGTCCATAGAAAATCTTGTTATCGATACATGCTTTATAGAAATATTATTACTTTTTTTAAGAAAATCATGTTATTGGCTAGATTTTCTAAAGAAAATCATGTTATCGGCAACATTTTCCATAGAAAATCTTATTATCGACCACATTTTCCATAGCAAATCATGTCGACATGTCTACTCACCTTAGGTCCATATTGTTTTCGTGTCACAACTTCTGGCGCCATCCAATACGGTGTACCCACCATTGTTGTACGTTTCGATTGTTCGGGTGAGATTTGTGCACAAAATCCGAAATCGGTCAGCTTCACCGAACCGTCCAGGCCCAGCAGAATGTTATCACTCTTAATGTCACGATGTATAACCTGATTGGAGTGTAAAAATTCAAGTGCCTGTAAAACTTCACGACACACCGCAGCAATTTGTCCCTCATCCATGCAGGTTTCGGTTACGACATCCGTTAGCGAACCACCCGGCAGATATTCCATGACAACCCACAGCTCCTCCGACACCAAATAACTGTCCAAATAATTGACCACGTTGGGATGTTTGTTTTCTCGCATCACCAGAATTTCATTGATGATCAGTTCTTTTTTCGGTTGTTGCGATAGATTCATCTGTTTGATGGCCACTTCCATGCCAGTGGAAGATTCGATGGCGGTGTAGACAGTGCCCGAGGCACCTTGGCCGATTTTCTCCATTTTCGTGTACTTACGATTCGGGTCGCCTACGGAAACGATGGTGCGTAGCTTCTCGAGAATTTCCTCATCGGACATTTTCTTCTTTTTCGCAGCTCCAGATCGTTGTTGGGTGGTTGTTGTGGTCGTACCACCTGTTGTGTTGGTGGTACCCCCCGTCGCTGGTTGTCCGCCAGCGGCTGGTGAGCCTGTGGCTGCCACAGCCGATGCTGCTGTTAGATTGTTTGTATTTGCATCGTTCGCATACAAATCTGTAATGGTGACAGTTGGTGTTGGAGCAGGTGCAATGAGGGTATCGTGGGCATGACATGTGGCATCCGGGGTGGCCGGTGTTATTGTGGTTATTGTTGAGGCCGCCCCAGCAGCAGCAGCAGCAGCAACAATGGGTGGTGTTGCAGCAACATCCATTGTTTGTTGTTGCAATGTTATTGTTGTTGTTGTGGCGGTTGTAGGCGTGGGTAAAGGCGGTGTCGGCATTGCAATCGATTCAATGAACGACGACGACGATGAGGGACAATAAATTGGTGGTAATGTGGCCATCATCATATCATCATGATACGAAGGAAACGATGAAAAGGAGGAAGCAGAAGAGTCATGATTAGTTGTGGTTGTTGTTGTTGTCGTTGTAGCATTACAATCAATAAATTGCAATTGATTACTAGTACTAGGTGTAGCATTAAGAGGAGCATCTACCACCACCACTGTCTCATTGGCAACAGAGGAAGTAGCAGCAGCAGTCGTTAGTAGAAGATTAGTAGTAGTTGTTGTTGTTGTAGCGTCATATCCAGCTGCTTGTGTTGTAGCAGTTGCAGGATTAGTTAATGTTAATGAGTTTATTTTTTGATTATTTTTTGTTAGCATAAATTCACACAAAAACACGCACGCACACACAAGAAAATTAATAATAGAAGGAGTTTAGAAAATTAGTTTTGCACATTTTGTTTTGTTTGAGGTTATGTTAATTTGAAGTGGCGGGTGGGTGATTGGTGAAGAAAAAGTAACTTGTGCGAATTAGGTAAGTATGTTGTGGTTGTATAAAAAATATGCATATTAAAGGTGGGAGAGATTCTTTTGTTAGTGAAAATTTTTCCAGGACCCAAGAAAGTGGGACTTGGGGATTGGCCTGAATTTAAAAAAATTTTAAAGGACATTCCGGGCTCATATCATAGATTTTTTGGGGAAATTTTTGTAAAGGATATTCATAGCTATAATCGCGGATTTTTAAGACATGTTTCTTAGAAGCTATCAGGGTTGTGGATTTTTAAGGAATATTTTGAAGTTTTTCTTGGGAGTTTCTGAATAACATTCAGAACTAAAATCATAGAGTGGAAAGGGATTTTTTCCAGGTCTATCAAGTTATATTTGTGGATTTTAAAAACTCTCTAAAGAACTATGTTAGTTCTTGTGGATATACCCTGATTTTATATCATATATCTTTTGAGAAATTTTTGTGAAGGAGATTCATAGCTACAATTTCGAATTTTTTTAGACATTTTTCTTGGTGGCTATCAGGGAATCGTTGTGAATTTTTAAGAACTATTTTTGAAGAATCTCTGAGATATAATTGACGATTCTTAGGGATTTCTAAAGAACATTCAGAATAAAAATTATAGAAGGTAAAGGAATTTTTCCAGGTCTATCAGGTCATAATTGTGTATTTTTAGGAACTCTCTAAAGGACTATGGTGATTCTTTTGGATATACTCTGATTTTTAATATTGTAAATTTTTAACGCATTTTCCTAGAGGACATATAAATCGAACAATAAGGACTATCAGAACAATAATGTTGGATTTTTTAAGGAATTAAGAAAATTTCCTTCCTGGACTATATTTAGAGCTATAATTTTATAATTTAAATGAATTCTTTTAAGGACCACTAGAGCTATAATTTTTCAAAGGTCTATGGGGGCAATAATCATGGATTTTTGTAGGGATTTTCTAAGGGAATTATAGCAGTAATATGAGGATTCTTGAGAAGCTAAAGTCGTAGATTTCTAAAGACATTATCTGACGTAGGGTTTAAAGAAATTTTCTGGGTTTTTAAGGACTTAAGAAAATGTTTTTCCTGGACTATATTCAGAGCTATAATTGTATAATTCTAAGGAAATCTTTTAAGGGCCACTAAAGCTATAATTTTTCAAAGATCTATAGGGGCTATAATCATGGATTTTTGTTGCGATTTTCTAAGAGAAATATAGTTATAATTTGAGGATTCTTGAGAAGGTCTATTTAAGCTAAAATCGTGAATTTCTTAAGACATTTTCGTAAATGTTTTTCAGATTTTTTTCTTAAAAAAAAAACAGAAGCAGAATTTATTTTCTAAAGGGACTCAGGGTTATAATCGTGGATTTTTGAAGGAACATTTCTGAAGAAGCAGTTTTGCTTTGAGAACATTTTTTGAAGAGTCATCAGGTATATAAACGTGGCCTTCTTTAAGAGCATTTCTGAGGGACTATAGTTGATATTTTAGGACAGATCTATAGTCGTGGTCGTTTTAAAGAACTTTTCTAGTTCCTTAGATTAGATTTTTGATTTTTTTAGGACATTTTCTGAAGTGGCTTCAAATCCATAGTCGTGGACGTTTTAAGGAACTTTCCTGAAGAATTAGGGTTAACATTTTTTAACATTGTGGTCTTCTTCAAGAACTTTTGTAATGAGCTAGAGTTGAAATTTTTTGGACATTTTCTGAAGGGTCATCAAGTCTAAATCGTGGCCGTTTTAAGGAATTTATCGTAAGGATTGTGATTGATTTTTTAGGACATTTCTTGAAGGGAAATCAGGTTTCTGAAGGACCAGGGTTGCTTTTAGGACATTTTTTGAAGGGTCATCGGGTATATAATCGTGGCATGTTTAAAGAACTTTTTTAAGGGACTATGGTTGGAATTTTTGCGACATTTTCTGAAGGGCTATCACGTTTTCGTGGACTTTTAGAGGAACTTTTCTTACGGTCCATAACCGATTTTTTTGGACATTTTCTGAAGGGCAATCAGGTCTACAAACGTGGCCTTTTAAATAACTTTTCTAAGGGATTATGGTTGACTTTTTTTTTAAATTTTTTTGAAGGGTAAGCAGTTCTGTATTGACTTTTTTAAAGAACTATTTTGAGGGATAATGGTTGACATTTGTAGGTCAATTTCTGAGGGGCTATCAGGTCTATAATCGTGGCCTTTTTAAATACACTTTTCCGAGGGGCTAGGTTTGACATTTTTTGGATTTTTTCAGAAGGACCATCAGGTCTTTAATATTGGCTTTTTCAAGAACTTTTCTGAGGGGCTAGGTCTGACATCTTTAGGACTTTTTCAGAAGGGCCATCAGGTCTTTAATATTGGCTTTTTAAGAACTATTCTAAGGTACTACGCTTGATTTTTAGGACATTTTCTGAAGGCCCATAAGATCTATGAACGTGGCCTATTTAAAGAACTTTTTTGTAGGTCAATTTCAGAGGGGCCACCAGGTCTATAATATTGGCTTTTTTGAAGAACTTTTCTTAGAGGCTAGGTCTGACATTTTTAGGACTTTTTCAGAAGTGCTATCAGGTCTATAATATTGGCTTTTTGGAAGAGTTTTTCTTAGTGACTATGGTTGACATTTGTAGGATATTATCTGAAGGGTTTTCAGGTCTATAATCGCGGCCGTTTTGACGAACTTTAAGGGACTATCGTTGAAATTTTTAGGACATTTTCAGGGCTATAATCGTAGTCTTTTTCAAGAATATTTCTAAAGACTAAGGTTACATTTTTTAAGACATTTTCAGAAGGGTCATCAGCTCTACTATAAACGTGGCCTATAAAAAACTTTTAGAGGGACTCTCCTCGATTTTTAGGACATTTCAGTCCCAAAACTCTTTAAAGGAAATAAAGTCGATGGCATTGTCGAATTCAACAAGTAGAAGAAGACAAGATATATACAACTGTTTATAGGAGGCCAATAGCTTATTCATTGTATATAGGAAGCTTAGAGGTCTTCACCTTTTCAGAACAATCAGCTCCAAAAATGTTTTTTGGAAGAAAGTCGAAAGTTATCTATTGTCGTAGAAGATCTATGGGGTCTTCAAAAGACTAGACATATCCAGTTGTCTATAGAAGGGCTATGTCTCCTATTGTCTATAGAGGACTTGGGGGTCTTATGTTTTTTATAGCATGCCTTATTTTATTAATTATGGAAGACCCACAGTTCATCCATTATCGAAACCAAATAGTTTCCTATTGTCGTAGAATATCTAGAGGTCTTAAGACCAATTGACCTTTTAGTCTTTAATTGTTTATAAAAGACCTTGAGGCATTCTAGTGTCAACATTGTCTTTGAGAGATCTAGAGGTCTTCCATTACCAGACCTTGAGATATTCTAGTGTCAGCAATGCCTTTGAGAGATCTAGAGGTCTTCCATGGTCTTAAAGTCCCCTACTGTCTTCAATTGTTTATACAGGCTCTTGAGGTATTCCATTGTCTATGGAAGATATCTTATTTTTCCAGAGGTCTGCTCTACTTCTAAAGGTTTATTTTCATGAGGAAGTTTTTTAAGGCCACAGCTTTATCTCCCTCACCTTTTAATATGCATTTGTGAATATGTTCTTGATATTAAACAAAAAAATGAAATTGTCAAATCAAAGTCGTGTGTTAAAATAATAATTAATTATAACAACAAAAAAACTACAACTTCAAACGAAATAAAAAAGAAAGCTTGGAAAATAAGTGGAATAGTACATCAGCCAGCAAAACTTACTCGCATTGTTTTTGTTCTTGTCCAATGTTGAGGCGGCAACGGATGTTGGCGTTTTAAATTGTGGCTGGGCCACATTGTTGTGTTGCGGTGTTGTTGGTGTGGTCGCAGGTGCCGCTGTGGGCGGTGGTAGTATGGGCGTGACAGCAGGTGCTTGTGGTACAACATCTTCTATGGGTCGTGTGTAAATGGATTTCGTACGTTCGGGACGTGAAGCAATTGGAGGTGGTGGCGGCTGAGGTGTACCCAAGATGTCATCTTCGTTCGCCGACGAATGCTGCGATGATGATGAGGCTGTATTGCCACCAAAGTTGTATGAATGTGATTGACTAATTGTAGCATGTTGACCGGCAGCGGACTGCTGTTGCTGATGATGTTGATGATGGTGCGACGAGGCATTTTGTGGTGACTGATGTTGTTGAAGATGATGTGGTGGCTGATGTGGTATCTGTGCCAGATGATGATGCGAAGGTGTATGGTGATTGCCAACTAAACCGCCAGACGTTATCAAGCCACTGGAATTGGAACCGCCAATATTCAAACTGCCAATATTGACACCAATTAAATTGCCTCCACTGTTTGAGCCATGCAATTCACTGTCTGTGGGTGTACTGCTGGGACTGCTGCTGCTCACTCGACTCAATGAGGATCCTGAAAAACAAGGAAATATATTTTCATTATTAAAAAAAAGAAAGAAATTCCACTGGAGTTTCCTACTCACCCGAATGTGTGGTGATGGCATTTGTCATGTACTTGGAACTTGGCCTCTGTTTGGTGGTATTATCGAACCACTTGAGCACATCTAATACAGCTTGAGGATTTTTCTTCTGTTCCTGTTTGCTTATGTTCGAATTCATAAGCAAACGTGCCCAGGCTTCCGGCATACCCTAAAATGAAATGACAATTTTGAAGGAGAACAGAAAACGATGAGTATCGACGACAAGACAATTATGGAAACAGCTCTTCTCAATTCAGTAAAAGTAAACAAATCGAAGAAATAAAATTCGATATGAGAGTACTGGCTAGTGAATGAGAATGATCGATGAGAAGTACATTTCTACAATATGTGATGAATATATGGAGGGAGGGCTGCGGGTGACGACGAGCTGCTTTGCGAAAACAAAAAGAGGCTTTAAATGCCCAAAATGTCTGTCTGAGTTCGCACCACACAGCAAGCCCTTTTGTGCCATTCAGCTAGCTAGCCAACCAATTCGAATATTTTACTTGTTACTACTTTCTATTAGCCGAAAATGGTATTGCGATGTGAGTAAAATGTAGACATTACATGACACAGTGTTTCCAAACGGTAATAATGAAAATGCTTAAATTTTTTCTAGGTTTTTTTTTTTTTTTTTTTTAAATAAAATGGCATCTAAGATCTGAATATAAGCTTTATTTCTCAAAATTAAAATATATTTTTTCTAAAATTTTTTCTCATGTAGAATGTGGTAAATTTTCAGAAACCGATTTATCAGAATCTTTTAACATATTTTTACTGTGGGTATTTTAAAGAGTTTGGAAGTTTATCAAAGCCACAATATTGATTTTTTTACTAAATTTATTTAATGCAATTTTGAGCCCTGTTTGTTAGAGGTTTGTCAATTCAGCTTTAATTTTTGAATTTTTAAAAATGTCCGCGATAGACGATAAGAAAAAGTATATAGCACTTTTTATACCCTCAGCCATATGGCTAGAGGGGGAATATATCATTTGCTAACGGTTTAAGGTCCTAGGTCTCTTTGGGCCAAATCCGTTTCACGACATTTGGAGTCGATCTAGCGGCGTCCGTACGTCCATCTGTCTGTTTGGCTGGCTGATGCGCACGATAACTCTCGAAGAGAGTATTCGTTTTAATACAAACTTTGTACATCGCAATATTTTTGTCAAACTTAGATCGAGTTTGGAGATGGGCAATATTGGAACCATATACCTTCTGGTACCTCCCTCACAAAATGTCAACATTTTCAAAGAAAATAATTTACTGCACGGAAAGAGAAAGGATAATTCGATTTTGCTCCAATTTTGCAAATCCTAATATTTGCATCAGGGCTAGGTCTGGTGCAAAAATAGCCAATATCGGTCGAATCCATTAATCGGTCGAATCCAAATGGGCAAAATTTTGAATATTTATAACTTTTATAAAATGTGATGTAAGTTTCCGATTGTCTTCAAATTACACATATCCCAATATTTTTATTAACCCAAGGTCTGGTGTGAAGATGGGATACATCGGTCCACTCCTTCGGGTACCTCCCCCACAAAGGGTGAACATTTTGAATATTCATGGAGCTCATAAAACACGAAATTAACATTCGATTCCATTCAGACTTGGCACATCTCAATATTTCTATCAACACAAGATCTGTTATAAAGATGGTAGAGATCGGACCATTCCTTCTGGTACCTCCCCCACAAAGGGTCAAAATTTTGAATAACCAAAAATATCATAAAATCCGAAATAAGCATTTTGTTCCCTTCAAATTTCACACATCACAATATTTTTATTAACCCCAGGTCTGGTGTGAAGATGGAATAAATCGGTCCACTCCTTCGGGTACCTTCCCCACAAAGGGTCAAATTTTTGAATATTCATGAAGCCCTCAAAACACGAAATTAACATCCGATTCCATTCAGACTTGGAACATCTCAATATTTCCATCAACAAAAGATCTGTTATTAAGATGGTAGAGATCGGACCATTCCTGCTGGTACCTCCCCCATAAAGTTTCAGTGTTTCGAATAACCAAAACAGTCATAAAATCCGAAATAAGCATCCGCTTCTCTTCAAATTACATATTGGGTGAGATAAAAAAACTGCAACAAAGTCAAACGTCATAATTTTTACATTTTTTTTTTAATTTTATTGAATGATGACAAAAAATATCGGAAATAGCATAACATTTTAGAATAAGTTTAGATTTGTTCGAATTGGTCAACTTTGGCACGAATTATGGTCTTCAAACGGCCAATGACACCGTCACACGCTGCCTGAAAGTTGCTCTGCCGTATTTTAGCCCATTCCCGGCGAAGCGCTTGCTTGAGTTGATCGATACTTTGGTATTTTTAAGTGCCAACCTTGCTTTCCAAAATACTCCTGACACAATAGTCCAACGGATTCGTATCCGGAGATTTTGGTGGCCATTGTGCCGATTGGAAATGAAGCGAGGAACCTCATTCTTGGGTGGCGCGTGCTGAGTGCGATGGTGCCGAGTCCTGTTGGAATGTCCAAGGTCTGCGGTCAAAAAGTTTGCATGCCCAAGACTTTAATACACCCTCCAGAATATTTTCGCGACAATATTTGGCATTTATTATGAGGCCACGGTTGATTAAGCGTAGAGCTGTTATGGCGGCCCATTCCAACACCATGGCCAGCGCTTGAGTTCTGGTGGCCTACCGAAGGTGCAGATTATCAGCTGACCTCTTTGGCAAGTAACCCCGATTATTTTGTTTGTTCACAAACTGCTGAACAACGAATGTTTTCTCATCGTTGAAAACCAAATTCGGCAGTTCACCACTTTTGGGCCAAGCGAAGCAACTCTTTAGCTCTTTTGAGTCTATTTTCTTTCTGTTGCGGTGTAAGTTCTTGCACTTTTTGGAATTTCAATGGCTTTACCCCGAGCTCATTTTTCAATATTTGCCGAATGTAATATTGCGATATATTCAGCTCACAAGCCATTTTTCGGCCACTGCGACGCTGTGATCGCTTCTTTACTTTTCGAACCATTTCTGCTGATTTTGCTGTTTTCTTCCATCCACTTCCTTGACGTCGGGCTACGCTACCAGTATCACGGTAACGAGTGATGGTAAGAGACAAAAAAGATTTATTCGCATTTCAATACTGGAGTGCTCTAACCACAGCCACTTGTGGTTTTCCAGCCAAATATAAAGAAATCACACTATCACGCTTGAATTCCATCACGAATAACTTTTTTTCTGAACAATTCTCACCAAAATGCTTTTGTACGCTTGTAAACAATATAAAGAGCTGTCACTGGAATAATTTTAACTGCTGTCGGACGAGTGGCTTAGAAATGACAGCAGTCTGAAGTTGCTTGCAGTTTTTTCATCTCACCCTCAATTAACCGAAATTTATGATTTCGCATAGAATTGGAAATAAATATTCGATTTCCTTTAAAATTTTCGCATACCAATATTTTTATCTGTATTATCTGTATCTAAATGGAATACTTCGGTCCGCTCTATATCTGTTACCTCAGGCATATTTCCAAATTTTCCAAAAAGTTGCACATATCTCACATAAAGTATGGGAAATAGTCGATATAGTCCAAATCTGGCACGTTTTAATATTTATATCCGTCTTAGGTCAGATACGAATTGGACAACTGCTTCGGAACGTCCCTCACAAAGGGTCAACAGCTTGAATGATCATAACTCACGGCTGGGGGTATAAGTCGGTCGACATAACCGACTGATACTATTTTACTTGTTTAACATATACTTTTAAAAACTACATATTTTTTATTTAGTCAACCTAATTGAATATTAATTTTAAATTAACATCTAGTAATAAACAAATAACTATTATCATATAAATATATATTTTTTTTGGAATTTTCGATATTACTATAAAACATCTCTATATACACATTTATGTATATGTTAGTGTCTAAATATATATATATATATATATATATATATATATATATATATATATATATATATATATATAATGGTTTTTCTATGATCCATTTTTAAAAAGCACTAAAACACTTAATAAAGCCCACGTAGCTAAAAGCCAGACATGAATTGTGTCGGATGTTTTATGACTTAAGTGTAAAGTGTTTTGTAGACTAGTGTAACAAATAAATATGTAACCAAAAAAACACAGAAAGAATCGACTAAAATAAAAACTAAGGATCAGTTTCACATTTTCGAGTAATACCCTTCTTCATTTCTGAAAAACAGGTGGGTAATTATTCTCTTTATTCGAAAATGTGAAATAGGCCTAACTAATAGCACTATCCTATAGAACGACGGTCCACACATACTGAAACCGAATATGAATTAAAAATGATTTGGTGACAGAAACATACGCATAACATAACGCAGATGTTGCTGAAGATAGTTAGAGGTAACCCAAGTACCAAATACTTACTTTCATTGGCAGCTGAGAGAGAAAAAAAGTTTGGATTTTGTTTCGATTTTGTTCGAAAGATTCAAATACAAAGTAGTAGAGTAGAGAAAAATAGTTGAAAAAAGAAAAAAAAAAAAAAAGAAAACGAAAAAACAGAAAACACAAATAATATTCGAGTAACAACACAGAAATCAACGTTTTTTTTTTGTGAGGTTAGCTTTCGAAAAGAAGAAAGAGAGAAGAAGTGGGTGAGAGGGGGACGGAGGAGAAGGAGTTGGTATTGCTCTTGTTGCATATAATGTTTATGATTTGTTTTTGTTCATTTTTTTTTGTTTTGCATTCAGAAAAAGGATTTATGTTTCAACCAAACAACATAACAACAATAATAAAAACACAAAAAAGAAAAATTAAATTGTTAATGTGGAAATGTGTGTTCCAACTTTTGCAGAACTAACTTTGTTGTTTGTAGTTTTCTTTTGTTTCGTTTTGGTATTTTTTCGTGGAGTGGCGCAAGTGAAAAATAAAAAAAGCCAGCAATAATAAACAGTGGCTTATTTCCACATAAATAGTGTTCTTTCCAGCAAAATTAAGAAAACAAAATTTGCCAAAAATAAAGAAAATTGTTAGCATTGATCGCAGCCCAAAAGCAAAAGCATTTTCAATACAAGTTGCTATTCCAATCAAATAAATTCCTTATTATCTTTGGTCCTTATTATCTTAGAAGGTGCAGATTTAGCAAATATTTGCAACAGCTGTGTCCTAGATGATTCAATTTTTAAAAAATTAAGATGGAAATATATGTTTTTTTGGAAGGACAAGGGGGAAAATTGGAGTATTTTTTTTTCTTAACAGATTATCAGATTTTTTTGGCTATAGCATAACGTTTCGTTGCATATGAGGAGAATTATTGATGCAGCCACTCGCCATATGTCCGCTATTCGATTGTTTAAAGAAGGAGGAGTCTCCGAGAAAATGTGACGCGATTAGCAAAAAAAAAGTGATATGAGGTTTTGAATTTTAAAGACCCAATACTGAGGAAAGTCAGACTTAGACTCAAAGACCATACGAAACCAAGATGGTATGTGTGGGATGAATCACTCGCGATAATTTGGAAGGGGGGGGGGGGGGGTGTTTCAAGTGAATCCTTTAATTTTAAACCACAAGAAGATATTTATCCAAATTTCAAAAGAGGACATTCATAAAAAAAACACAAAGAAAACGACGAAGAAGGCATGACAGAAAAGTCGACATAACTAGATTGAGATTGGAGTGTTATAACAAGGTTCGTATTTTAGTGTCACAAACAGTCCTGCCTTGCTCAAATTCCAGGCAGTATATTGGCTCTAGGCAATTTAAGGAATTGATGTAGAAGTCTTGAAACTAGAAAAGATCCACAAGAACGAGCTGGAGGCAGATATTTGGTTTGATTTAAGGATGCGCAGCTACACTGCTTTACTCAGAGACCTTTGGTCCATTGTGATCATCCTAGGAAGAATAAATATATTGGCGATAGGAAAGATATGGATAAAATATTCACAGGGACGGGGTGGAGGCTATATTTTTGCTTAAGGGTGCGCAGTTGTACGATAGTCGGTGACTGCTTCATTCGGAGACCTTTGGTCCATTGAGTTCATTCTCGGAAAAATACATTTGTTGGTGATAGGAAGGACATAGAAAAATAACCTAGAGAAATAAATACAGTCGGCTGGGTGATCTGCCAAGCCAGGGAGTGCTCTGCTTGTAGAAGATGATTAGAATCTCTATCTAAGAAGAATGTTAGAGTTTTGGGCGACAGCATGGGACATCTGCATAGTAGGTGTTTAACCGCTACTACATCTCCCCCATCTTCACATGGTATACATTATTCAGAAACATTGTAATCCATCTTGAGGTCAGATATCAGATATGGCAATGCTAACCGCAATTCTGGGATCAGACCTATTTAGTAATAGAAGGGAGCTTTTTCTACTTCTCGAGATTAGCGGCCAAATGGACTTAGATAAAATCCAACCTGTTTCCAATTCCAATTTTTCAGGCAAGCCAGCCCGCGAAACTCGACATGCTATAGTCACTGGTCCTATTATGCAATTGCAGACATCTCTTGCCTTGCTGAATGCAAGAATTTTCGCCTGAAAAAACGCTGTGATTGTCAGTACGCTTATATGATTGGGTTAGTGCAGAATACTCCAGCACACGTGACTATCCATTTTATAACCGTCTGTATAAATGGCCAAACCCGTTCAGCGTCCCTATCAGTTATCGTTACGCCAAGGTAATTGAAGTCGAGACCTGTGGAAATAGAGGGTGAGATGAAAAAACTACAACCAAATTCAGACTGGCCGAAAGTGGTGAACTGCCGAATTTGGTTTTCTCCGATGAGAAAAAATTCGTTGTCCAGCAGTTTGTAAGCAAAGAGGTCAACTGAAAATGTGCACCTTCGGTTGGCCACCAGAACTCAAGTGCCGGCCATGGTGATGGTGTGGGCCGCCATAACAGCCGATAGTCGTTCTCCACTCCGCTCGTATTAATCGACCGTGGCATCAGAACAAATGCCGAATATTATCTCGAAGATATTCTGGTGGGTGTATTAAAGCCTTGGGCCACCCAAGAATGATTACAAAATGAGGTTCCTCGCTTACTTCCAGTGCACAATGGCCACCAAAATCCCCGGATACCAATCCGTTGGGCTATTCTGTCTGGAGTATTTTGGAAAGCAAGGTTGACACTAAAAAATACCAAAGTGTCGAACACCTCCAGCAAGTTCTTCGCCCGGAATGGGCCAAAATACCGCAGAGCAACATTCGGGCAGCGTGTGACGGTTTCAATGGTCGTTTGAAGTCGTTTCATGCCAAAGGTGACCAATTCGAACAAATCTAAATTTATTCTAAAATTTGATGCTATTTCCGACATGTCATTTAATAAAAAAATGTAAAAATTATGGCGTTTAACTTTGTTGCAGTTTTATTTTATCTCACCCTATATATCTATAAAAGATGAAAATGTTTGTACGTTTGATTGTTTGTTTGTAATTTATAGATTCAAGAACGGCTGACCAGATTATTCTGAAAAGGTCCAGCCTGAAAGAAACATAGGCTATATAAATTTTTGAAATTTCACTTGGAACGGGAAATATAGCATCAGAATCGAGGGCACCACCAAAAAATTTAGTTTTAGTATAAACATATCTATTGATCGGTTACAGATATAGTCTCCAAAATTTGGAGTGCGTAATGGAATTTGGAGCAAAAATAATTTTTTTTCATATTATATTGAAATCGGTTCAGACTGGGATATGATTTTGTCCTACAACACCTTTACAATCGCATCAGGGTAAAAGTAAAAAACTACACAACAATTTAATTTAGGATACGATTATTACGGGGAAGTATGTTGCTATTGTCTAATAGTAACAGAAATGCCACTCAACTTCAAAAGATTGCAGAATCCTGCATCCTGAATCCTTTTGCTATGAAATTAATAAATCCGAAGGACAAACTCTTCGTGTATGCGAACTAAATTTGGCATATTCCTGCTTTTCTCATACAAGTTTTGATTTCACTTTTATTCTTTTAAAACACCTTTTTGGTTCTTAATTTTTGAAATAAAACCAGGGTCTAAGAGCAGATTCTGTTGCGACACTTCTGTCGTTTATGCTGCTTTAAAATTCTAAACATGGGTGGTCTCTCTACCAATCTACAACCAATCAGCTGTAATTTGAAATTTCGGGTTCGTTGTAGGAAGTACTTCTAAAAAAATATTCAATGTAGGTCTATTTTTTGGTATAGCCCTCATGTAGCGGTACCTCCTGATTTTGGGTGTTTTGAAGGTTTTAGAGAGAGAGATTCAACTCCACCAAAATATTCTATATAGGCATAATCTTCATATAATGGAATTTCCAATGTTCTTTCTATTTTGTAAATTATATATCTTGATAGGTTTCAGAAACAAAATTTTACCTCAATATTTAAAGAGGACTTTTCCATGTAAATCGTACAGAGAATTTCGAAGCAAAACCATATTTTCAGTAAAGAACATTGATTTGGATTAAGGGGGAGGCAAGTTAGGTTTGACCTTATATGCAATTTAAAATGATCGGGTTGGATTCAATTGAATATCATTTCGAAACTAACAATAGAAAATAGAATTCCCCAACCTGATGTTATCCTTACATTTTTTATAACTGCAAAATAATTCATTTTTACAATTATCATGATATTAAATATACAATTCGGTGAAATGTTTTTCATGACTTTCAAAGAGAGAGAGAGAGAGAGAAAAGGATAACAAGTCAAACATATGTATAATTCGGTTTTTTACATAATTAATGCATATATAACAAAAATTCATAACAAAATGCATAACACATGATAACAAGAGTTGGTTTTTCTTTCTTTCAATGAATGGTTTTTCTCACTTTTGGGGGGGGGGCAGAACTTATATACAATTGTCTCACTAAACTACCGGGGGCGGCAACTAACTAAAATTGCAAACTTACCGTAAATTCACCTGTAACCGCATCGAAACCCACATGGACTGTGTGTTCGAAATTTGTGGGATACGATATATTCGGCTTGGAATCCTGATGTGATGGCTTGGAGCCTTTGATTTTATTTTTTAAAGTTTTTTTCTTGCGATCAGGATCATCGGGTTCTGTGAAGAGAATAAAAGAACAATGAGTATAACATACATTGAGGGATATTTGTTTAGTGGAAATACCTTTTGGCAGGGGTCTCATGTCGACTGGTGGTCCATCACCGCCACCCGTTATGGAACCTCCCACCCGATCGCCACCACGATTGCTGGTTAGACGGACTGGTGGAGCCGGTGGTTTATCTTCTTCGCTGGACATTTTCCCCCAACAGATACACTCTCAACAACAGCAACAACAATAGAGACAACAAACAACCGTATCACAAAACAACAGCAATAACTGGTTTAATAATTCTTTACGAATTCCAAATTCAATGTCTGTGCCGTGCACTTTCTTTTAGACTCTGGCGATTCTCTCTCCCAATTCCTCCTCGGAGTGATTTGTCAAGCTAAAAATGGAAGAAAAAACAACAATATGATTAACAAAATGTGAGTAATAATTAAATTGAAAACACTTCAATTTACACTACAAAAATTTAATAAGAAATTTTATAGAAGAAGAAAAAAGTACTACAAGAATATCATTTCAAATGAAACAAAAAACACACACACATACATACACATATTCTTTATCTGTATTCTTGTGTGTTTTCTTTTCTTTTTTTTGGGGGGGTTTTCGTTTCCAACGTTTGTGTCATCAATGATGGTATTGGCGTCAAAATGAAATATAACAACAACAAAAAAATATTCCCCATATATTTCTGTGGTGTTTATATAAATATTTATTCTTTTAATTTTCTTATCAGCTGAGACGAGGGCTAGCCGGCCGGCCGGCTTGCCGCCAATCGCTTTAGAATAAACAGTCATGGTTTTACCATTTTTTTTTTCAAAGTAAAATAAATCGTATTTTAAAATGGGAACAAAAATAAGGGAGATAAGTGGAAGTATTTTCCAGTCGTAGAGGATCCATTTAGATGGCTTCTTTCTATTGAAGGACCCTTTCGTATGACCTGCACCATAAAATGGAGGGTATATTAAATTTTGTCATTCCGTTTGCAACACCTCAACATGGTCGTCGAAAAACGAATAAGGCATAGCTATTCATGATCCACGTAAAATTCTACGTATATTTACCAAATGCAGATTTAGTCTGTCTGTCTAAAGATATTGTTTCAAATTTATTCCTAAAATGTTTGGTATTGAAAATTATATATTGGTCCAACATTAAGTCTCCCTGGCCTCCAAAAAGCAGTTCCTCGTGGTTTTTAGTATTTTGAAGGTCTCGGTCTCAGTTTCCAGTCAAATCAGTTGCAATTTTTCATTTCAGGTTTTGTTTAGGGGACTCCTGATTTTCTGTATTTTGAAAGTTTTCGAAATTTTGAAAAATGAGGGAGAAAAGTTGAAGTATTTCCCATCCGTAGAGCTTCTTTCTATTGAAGGACACTTTGTTTGGTATTGGAAATTATATATATAGGTCCAACATTAGGTCTCCATGGCCTTCATATAGCAGTTCCTCCCGGTTTTTAGCATTTTGAAGGTCTCAGTCTCAGTTTTCAGTCAAATCAGTTGTAACTTCTCATTTATGGTTTTGTTTAGGGTATCTCCTGATTTTCGCTATTTTGAAAGTTTTCGAAATTTTGAAATTGGGATCCAGCCAATTACCAACCACCATATCATGGGTTTTTTGAAGCGCTATAATTAGTCATTTCGGATTGTCTTCTGCTAGATTGACTTCGAGCAAAAAAATATTCAATGTAGATCCACATATAGGTTAGGTTAGGTTAAAGGTTACCATATGGCAACCACTCCACTCGGAGACCTATAGGTCCATTGTGTTCATCCTAAAATATGGACAATATATAAATCTAAATATTTTCAAAGAAAATTTAAATTTAATTTCAAATTTACTGCGCAGAACGAGAAAGGATAATCTGATATTGCTCCAACTTTGCAAATACTAATATTTGCATCAGTGTTAGGTCAGGTGAGAAAATAAACAATATCGGTCCACTCCATTCGCTACCTCCCCCACAAAGGGCAAACATTTTTGAATAATTATAAATCTTGAAAAATGTGATGTAAAAGTCCGAATATCTTCAAATGTCACAAGTTACAATATTTGTATTAACCCAAGGTCTGGTGTAAAGATGGAATACATCGATCCACTCTTTCTGGTACATCCCCCACAAAGGGTCAAAATTTTGAATACCCATGAAGTTCATAAAACACGAAAATAAAATCCGATTCCATTCAGACTTGGTACATCTCAATATTTTTATTAGCACAAGATCTGTTATAAAGATGGTAGAGATCGGACCATTCCTTCTGGTACCTCCCGCACAAAGGGTCAAAGTTTCGAAAACCAAAAACGATCATAAAATCTGAAATAAGCATCTTTTTCTCCTCAAATTACACACATCATAATATTTTCATTATCCCAAGGTCTAGTGTGAAGATGGGATATATATGTCTACTCCTTCAGGTACCTCCCCCACAAAGTATCAAAATTTTAAATATCCATGAAACTCATAAAATTCGAAATTAACATCCGATTTCATTCAGACTTGGCAAATCTAAATATTTTTATCAACACATGATCTGTTATAAAAATGTTATAAATCGGACTATTCCTTCTGGTACCTCCCGCACAAAGGGTCAAAGTTTCGAAAACCAAAAACGATCATAAAATTCGAAATAAGCATTTGGTTCTCTTCAAATTACACACATCACAATATTTGTATTAACCCAAGGTTTGGTGTGAAGATGGAATACATCGGTCCAGTCCTTCTGGTAGCTCCCTCACAGAGGGTCAAAATTTTGAATATTCATGAAGCTAATAAAACACGAAATTAACATTCGATTCCATTCAGACTTGGCACATCCCAATATTTCCATCAACACAAGATCTGTAATAAATATAGAAGAGATCGGACAATTCCCAAGCTTTTTCGTCCCTCAGCCAACCAAAATAGGTCTCCTTAAACCACTTTCCATTGCATTCTCCTTCAAGAGTAATCCCATCACCTCAATTAAAGCTCATATAAAACACCCATAGATATTCTCTGCCTATAGAAGACCTCTTGAAAATTCTTCCCGGATGAGAAGAACTTAATACAATTTCGAATTTTGGGAGTACTATTCGTCCAATTTTACACGTCCTGTCTTTTCAAGGAGGAAACCTCTCCCATTTCTCATTTCTGTTCCATTGAGGCACCCGAATATACAATCCATTGTAAAAATAAAAAAAAATATCTGTCCATTTCCGCATTCTTTGTTGTTATCAACAATAGCAGCAGCCTTTCTTGTTGAATAATAAAAAAATATTAAGGAATTTAATAAGCAGATATTCATTCTCATTGTACATGTACGTGTGTTTCTGTGTGCGTGCATGCCCTCTGGAGTTACTACTCACAATTTACTCTCATTCGACTGAGGGAGAATAAGAAATCAAAAAAGAAATAAAGAGATGTGTTTGAGTACTTGAACAGGGTTCATGTGGTACTCGACTTTTGTTGTTGTTGTTGTCGTCGTCGTCGATTTCTGCTGTCTTCATTTACAAGTCATGACATGCTGTTGCACGCATCTCAGAGATAAGTTTCATTCAATAAAACACGAACTCGAAGCTGGTTCAATGGCGACAAAAGGCAGAGAAGTGAGATAGCAAAGCGAGACAAGAAACGTTTTGGAATAACCACCACCACCACCTACCGACTTATTTCTAAAAGCGCCCACTGAAGACGTCATTGTGGCCGCACAACAACGTGCAACGTACGACTTGACGACTAACATCACAGCAGAAACAACAACAAAAATAATAAGAAAACATGTATTACGACAAAGGAAACTACCAACAACAGCAAAAAAACAGACAACGGCGACAAGGGCGCTGTGTCGATGATTCATTGCAAAAATTGTCTGCAAGTCGACAAAATACAACATCAAAAAGGGGGAAACTTTTCGAGCGAAATGCGAAAATTTGTTACTGCCTGTGTGTGATTGTGCGTGTATGTCTGTGTGGTAACGATAATACTTTGCGATGACATGTTTTAAGTGAAAAGGAAATTGTTTTATTGGTGATAGGTGCCTATTTTGTGATGGGATTACTCTTGAAGGAAAATGCAAAGGAAAGTGGTTTAAGGAGACCTATCATTGTTAGAAGAAGGATGAAAAAATATGTTTTTCTGAAACATTATCAAGCCAAAAGGATCAACAAATGTGGATTTTTAAAGAATATTTCTTCGGGGACAATCAGGAAACTTGAATCGTAAATGAAAATATTCTTAAGGCCTGACTATCTTTGTTGTGGATTTTTATAGAATACTTTCTCATAGACTATACAGGAACCAAAAACGTGGGTTTTAAGAATATACTTTGTGAAGGATTCTCCAGGATCAACAAACATGATTTTTTCAAAGAATTTTTTGAAGGATTGTCCCGGATCAACAAACGTGAATTTTTAAAGATTTTTTTTAAGATGTATGCAGGATCGACATACGTGATCAACAAACGTGAATTTTTAAAGTTTTTTTAAGAAGTATCGGATCAACATACGTGACTTTTTTCTAAAGAAGTATCCAGGATCGAAAAACGTGAATTTTTTCTAAAAGAATTTTCCGAACCAACAAGCGTGGATTTTTAAAGATATTTTTTGAAGGAGTATCCAGGATCAACCAACGTGAATTTTTAAAGATTTTTTTCTGAAGAACTATCCAGGACTAAAAAAAAGTATTTTTAAAGAAATTTTCCAAAAAGGAACTTCAGAACAAACGGGGTTTTTAAAGAATTTTTTCTGAATTTTTCCCAAAAGACCTTCAGAACAAAAAGGGGTTTTAAAGAATTTTTCCCAAAAAAGACCTTCAGAACAAACGGGGTTTTTAAAGAATTTTTTTTGAAGAACTTTCCAGGACCAAAAAAACGTGGATTTTTTTTAAATATTTCCTCAAGGACCTCCTGACTAACAAATGTAATTTTTAAGTTCTAGGACTGTCAGACTTTTAAGCATGAATTTTCAAGGAAAATTTTGTGTAGGATAACCAGACCAACAAAAGATTATTTTCTAAGGGATCTTCAGACCAAAAAAGTGGATATTTAAGAATTTTTCTAAAGCACCTTCAGCAGATCTAAAAATATGGACATTTAAAGAATATTTTCTTAAGGACCTTTGGTTCAAGAATTGTTGATTTTTAAAGAATATTTTCTGAAGGATCAGCAGACCTAGAAGGCGGATATTTAAAGAATATTTTCTGAAGGACCAGGAGAACAAGGACCAAACAATTGAATTTTTAAAGAATATTTTCTAAAGGATCTTCAGATCAACAAACGTCTTTTTAAAAGATTATTTTCTCAAGGAAACTAGACCAACAAACGTGGATTTTTGAAGAATATTTTCTTAAGGACATTCAGAGCAACAATTATAAATTTTTTAAAAATATTTTCTGAAGTACCATGA